CACCCACGCCCACACCCACACCCTCCACACCCACGCTCGCACCCACACCCACCCACACCCCACACCCACACCCACACCCACACCCACACCCTATATTTAAAGATAACAAGTTCTTCTGAAGCATTTATAGCGTTTTATGATTGAAAGCTGGTTCTTATCAAATTGTCAGATATACGCTACTTCCAATCAGGTGTATGCTCAAAGTAATTAGTGACAACTGTAGCAGTGCTCAATTTTTAGGGTGTGAGTTTGACCCATGTACTTTCTTTACTTCATCGATATTTTCCAAAACCCATTGAACATCTTCATGGTCATCAGCATATTTTAATCGGAAGATCTTCAGTGCCTCTTCTAAGTATTCCATTGCATTATTATAACTTTTGAGTTTTAGATACGTTTCTCCAATGTTACCAAGACAGTATCCTATAGCTAGATCATCGGGTAAACATATTTTTCGTACAACATCTAACTGTTTTGAAAAATATTTTAATGCCAACTGAAAATTTTCATTTTTTTCATGGATATGACCAATTTCAAAGAGACAGTTACCGATTTGTTCTTGTTCAGGTGGGACACATTTCTCAAATACAGACATAGCTTTTTCAAAGTGAAACATAGCTTCATCGCTATCATTGCGTTTTTGACAAATATCAGCAAGTTGATACAGAAGTTGTCCAATAGTCGGATGTACTTCACCAAATTCTTTTCGTAATTCAGTTAATTTTTTGTCACACAAATCAAATGCCGATTCATAATCATCTTTTCCTTTGTACACCTGAAGAATTCTATCAAACAAGGCTGACATATTTTTATGTCCAACAGGATATATTTTTTCATAAATTTTCAGTGCATCTCCTAGAAAATTCAACGCATCTTCATAATTCTCGAGCTGAAGATATATTAAACCAATGTTGTAGAGGTTGTTTCCTATCTTAGGATCATCGGATAAATATATTCTGCGTGCAGTATCTAATTCTTTATAAAAGTAATCTAGTGCTAATTGGAAGTTTTGCCTCTGCACTTGAACGACACCAATCCAATATAGACACAATCGAATGTGTTCCTGTTCAGGTGGGTTACATTTTTCAAATACAGACAAAGCTTCTTCGTAGTGAGATAGAGCTTCAGCATAATCATTACAGTCTCGAAAAATATCACCGGTAAGTCGAAGTAAATGCCCAACAGTAGGATTGAACTCACCCAATTCTTTGGGTAAATCATTCAATTTGTTCTGACAGAAATTGAATGCCGCTTTATGATCTCCTTTTCCTTTGTATGTATCAACAATGTCTTCCAGAGTTTTTTGAACTTCTTTGTGGTTATAAGAATATTTGGACTGTAAGATTTCTAAAGTTTCTTCTAAATATTTCAATGCATCTTCATAATTTTTAAGTCGACGATGGATATAACCTATTTCATGGAGGGTGGCGATAGTATCTGGATGATCAGGTGAATACATCTTGCGTCCAATTTCTAAGTCCTTAGTACGATAATCTAGTGCTAATTGAAAGTTTCCGTTTTGTTGTTGAATAAAAGCGATGCGATTTACACAAAGATACATTGGTTCCTGGTTTAGGAGACCACATTTTTCGAATATTGACAAAGCCTTTTCAAAGTAAGATAGAGCTTCATCATTATTGTTGCGTTCTCGAAAAAGCTCGCCAACTCGATATAGTAATCTTCCAACAGCTTCATGTGTATCACCTACTTCTTTTCGTAGCTCAATTAACTTCTTCTGACAGAAAGTGAATGCTGCCTCATAATCGTCTTTTCCTGCATATGCAGTAACTATACCAACAAATAATTTTGATATTTCCTCGTGTCCAGCTGGTAGTGTTTTTTCATAAATTTCCAGTGCATCTTTCAAATATTTCAATGCATCTTCATATTTTTTCAGGTTGATGTACATTTCGCCAATGCGCCAAAGAGTAGTTCCTATTTTACGGTCATCAGGTGGATACATCTCTCGTTCGATATCCAGCTGTTTAGTAAAAGACTTTAGTGCCAATTCAAAGTTTTCTTTGCCTTGTTGAATGAGAGCAATGGAATTTAGACATGCAGAAATTTGTTCCTTTTGAAAAGGAACACATTTTTCTAATACTGACAAAGCCTCTTCGAGGTAAACCAGAGCTTTGTTATTTTCATTGCATTCTCGAAAAATTTCACCGATTTCGTAAATTAATTTTCCAACTGCAGGCTGTACTTTATCCTGTGCTTCCCTCAGTTTAAGTATTTTCGTTTCACAGAACTCAACTGCTGTTGTATATTGACCTTTACGTTTATATACGAAAACAATTGCACTAATCAAGTCTGATATTTTTTTATCTCCAACTGATAAAGTCTTTTCATAGATTTTAAATGCATCTTGCAAAAACTTCAATGCATCTTCATAATTTTTAAGATGAGAATGCATCAGACCAATGTTATAGACAGGGAAGCCCATCTCAAAATCATCAGGAAAATACATCTTGCGTCCAATTTCTAACTGTTTAGAATAATAATCTAGTGCCAACTGAAAATTTTCATTTCCCGCTTGAATGGTAGCCATATTCCTCAGACAGTGCCATATCTCTTCTTTTTCAGGAGGATTACCTTTTTCAAATATTGACAAAGCTTTTTCATAGAGAGGTAGAGCGTTGGACTTTAAATCTTCAGAGTCTCGAGCTATGTCACCAATTTCTGACAATATTTGTCCGACAGCAGTGTGCATTTCGCCCAATTCTTCACATAACTGAATCCATTTCTCGTGATAAAAATAAAACGCCGCTTCAGAACCGTTTTTCTCTTCGATGGCCTGAGCAATCATATAAATCAAGCGTGACGTGCGTTTATGTCCAGGTGGTAATATTTTTTCGAATATTTTGAGTGCATCAAAGTAATACTGCAGGGCTCTATCAGGGTCCTTTTCTACGTAATAAAGGTAACCAATATCCCAGAGAGCATGAGCAATATCAGCATGCTCTTGTGGCAGAAGACGTCGTCGCATCTCAAGTGTCTGCGTGAAGCAATCAAGTGCGGAGTCGAAATCGCGTTTTTGACCATAGTATGCTTTTCCCAAATTTGATAGTGTCTTCGCAATAGCTATATGATCACCTTCTCCATAATTCACACGATAGATATCTAGAGCACGTTTATTGTATTCTAGTACTTTCTTATAATTGCGTGCCAGATCGTATACATCAACAATGTTCATGAAGGAATGTGCAATTTTCGGATGATTCGAGTGCAGACGTGTCTTTCGAATTTCATATGCACGAGTGTAATGTTCTAATGCAGATGATCGTTCGTGACGACAATAAAAAATGAATCCCATTTCATTTAAAACATCAGCTTCTGTCAAAGAGTCTTTCTCAGCTTTGATCAATAACAAATTGAAATATTTCATGGCTTTTGCGAGTTCATTCATTTCAGTTAAAAGACGACCAAATATAATTGCTATTTCGGTGTCCTCGTATTGTTTCTTTGTTGCATCAGTGTAGCCTTGCAAATTTTCCATTCCTTCATCGGTGGCAGCCATCTGGACTAGCCAGCACTTCATTTCTTTAGAGAAATCAACACATTCAATTTTGAAGACGGCACCGATACCAAACAGAACTTCATGTTCACCTTTAATACGACTTAATTCTTCGACATCAGCAAAGACAACCGATTTAAGAGAACTATCAGCTTTTATTTCAAATAAAATTTGTTGTAGATCATGTCGTTTAGCTTGTTGTAAAAAGTTAATAGCAACAATTTTTACGAGTGTTGTTGAAAAGAAGCCATTCGTAGAGATGAGAGAACCAACACTGTGTTTTATTCGATCAAGTTCTTGTTCAGATATCACTTGTCCTCGGTAAAGTGTCATTGTTCCAACATTCTTTCGACTCTCTTCTTCTAACTGTTTACAGAGGTCGATAATGTAGAAACGAAATAGATAAAGTCCATCGATATCTTCTGTACGTAGTGCTCTGTTAAGAAGACGATAGAGAAAGCATTCATCTGTATACCAAGCAATAGCATCTTTCGCGTCGTATGTTCTTCGAAAACGTTGAATGTTCTTTAATTCACTTAGATTTCCTCTATAATATTCTTCACATTTGACTAACATTTCGTTCTTAGCATCTTCTGTATAAGGAAGTTCTTTCAATACAGTGAGAAGTAGCTGAAACCAAAGGAATGAGGCAGCTTCCTTTGTAAGATCTCTTGAGCATTTCTGCTTCTGGTTAAAGAAGGAAAACGCCGTCGTTTGTTTTGAGATGAGATGCAATTGCTGACGTATTGCTTTCATCAGTGATTCTTGTTCGGTGAAGATATCGATGACTTTTGATGAATATTCTTGCTTGAGATGTTCGTAAGGATTACGGTTTGAGCAGAAAATAAAGACAGACTCTAATTGACTGAGAGAGGCAATATGCGGCAAGACATCTCTCGATAATGAACCTGAGAGGATGAGAAGAACGCTTTCCTTCTCGACTGATTTGCTGTATTCGATACAGGATTTAGGATCGGTGTATGTTAATACAAAGTCGTTGATCGCTCTAAGTAGTAAGAGTGTCTTCTTAAAGTCGTCCTTTGTTTCATCAATTGATTCATCTAGCCAGATAAGCGTAACATTTTCAAGATTTTCAGCTTCAAAATCCCGGAGATGTATTGGTATATTGTCATTTGAGGTGGTAGGTGCAGTTTTAGTACGACCAGCAATAGTGGGAAAAGGAGAAATTGTATTCTTGCAGTTTTTACAACCCATTTTCTGTCACGTTATAGAAGGTAGTGGCATGAATAACGCCCTTTCTACGTGAAAAATGTGTCTTCTTTCTATTTGCATGATGATAAGAAGAGGATAAACATAAAAAAATAAGAATCATTACAGTTGCTCTTCCTTTGAATACAGAGTGTTTTATAACTTATAGATAAGGAATGAACAAAAAAAAGAAAAAAACATTATACAACTCTATAATAGCAAAAAGAAATTATGATTCTTCATAAAATTCTTTTTCTTTTTGTACATTTCAAAATTAGATATATGTAACAAGAGAGAGAGGGCACGTGTTAATGGAGAGTGAAGAGAGCAAAGAAATATAAGATCAAGAGTTTGATGAAACTTCATATTGTTCTTATTCGTTCACGTCAAGCTACAGAAAGCACCACACATCGTCTATAAAGAAAGTTTCATTCTTTCCGTAAGTAAAACAAAATGTGGGTGTGGGGTGTGGGTGTGTGAATGTGTGGGTGTGGATGCGGGTGTGGGTGTGGGTGTGGGTGGGTGTGTGGGTGCGGGTGTGAGTGTGGATGTGGGTGTTCTTCTTCTTTAAACCCACACTCACATCCACACACACATCCCATACCCACACCCACACCCACCCACACCCACCCACATCCACATCCACACCCACCCACATCCACACCCACATCCCATACCCACACCCACACACCCACCCACACCCACACCCACACCCACACCCACACACCCACACCCACACCCACCCACACCCACACCCACACCCACACCCACACCCACACCCACACCCAAATCGTAATTATGTGTATAATATAAATTTTTATGATTTGATTTAATTTAAAATCAATAAAATAAAATTAATTATAAATTTATTTTATCGTTCTTATTTAACCTTTAATTAATATAAATAAATATTTATAATTATAATTATATAAACTTTAAATATATAATAATTCTATCTAATCAAAATAAGGAAGAGAAAACTTATAAGTTAACAAACAATTAAGTTAACATTAATGTTAATGAATGTAAGTTCAAATTTGTTTCAAAACGAAATGTAATTAATGTTGTTAACGATGGTGTTAATAATGGATATTGAAATACTTCTAATGAATTTTTACGATTGAAAACCTTCCTATAGATATAATTATTATCATAATTCAAAT